ACAATCCACTATGTTTAAAAAGGAAATCGTTACAGAGGCACCCATACAACCTCAAATTACCTAGACTCTCTCTAAGTGGCAACTTATACCTTAGTGCAACTCCATCTACGTACTCTAGTTCTAAAATTGGCACTTAGGTGCCGAGGGGTAAATTTAAATGCTATTCAAACAGACACAACAATATTCACATACTTTAAGACTTGACCAAATATAATTATGACTAGTCAACTGCTAGTCATGAAAACCATAACCAAGAGCACACACACAGAGCATAACAATCTACATACACCTGCAAGCCTAGAAGAATACTAGTGACAACCTAGGCACTCATAAGGACCCGTCAATCCAGGCATCCCTTATGCTAGCAACAACTATGGTGAAAGTGTGTGAATACATCATAATCAAATAAATAGCAAATAGCATATAATGATGACTAGTCAACCGCAGGAACACAAACCCAGAAAATAACCAAACTGCAAACTAGAACATTGTTCACCTAGAAACCCACCACTAGGAAAAACTGGAGGTCATCAACTAACTAGGCAATCCACTAAGCAAAGAAGATTCTTACAAAGAAACTCAAGGAAGCTCAAGAAATCCTAGGTCTATTTAGGAAGATAAGCTATACCTCATTTGTGCAATCTTCTTCTCTAACTTAGCAATGCTAGCAGCTTAGTCCTTCATGGCAATGACAGCTCATTCTTCAACTCTTTCATCCCATGGTACCAGCTAGCCAGCTCAAACTCGAACAAAAACCAACAATTTGGATTCAAGGAAAAATGACCAATTTATTCAAGAAATCATACTCTTGAAGAAACCAATCTTGAATATGACCTAGATATATATGAGAATGTGTTTGTTCTAGCTAGATGCAGATTTCATATTTCAATAGCAGTATTTGAAAATCAATTTAGAAAACTCATAGATGAAAATGGTGGTTTTCTCTTGAGGAAGAAGAAGAACAACAAAAATTTAGCAAAAAACCTTTTCAAAACCTCACCTCAAAAGTGACGGTTGCCAAATGAGGAATCAATAGACATTTACCCAAAAATTCCTAGGTCAGAATAGTACACATGGCAATTCAAAAAATTCGTAGAATATGACAAAAGGGTTTGTTAGGATCCAGTTGGAAACCAGTGAGCTGGTAATCCAACTGATGCAAAACATGACTAGTCATAATCTTAAGAATTCTAATGGATGAAATGCACAAATTACCTTTATCAATTTGATTGATCCTCCATAAGATAGCAGCCAGATAAGAACACTTAGAGGAACTATTCTTAATCTAAACTTGAGCTTGGGTAATTACAATGCATGTCCTATTACAATATTATCAAGGGCAGCCAAAAGAAAAACTTAAAAATAATAAATTTAACAGGTTCATGGCAAAAAAACCTTAAAAATCATCCTTAACAGGTTCCTTTGGTTTGGCTCATTTGACAAACATGGGGCTCCTCTAGTTTCTTGGGGTCAATGTTGTGCTCCTATGGCAGAAGGTGGTCTTGGCCTTATGCAGCTAGTGGTTTTAAATCGAGCATTTTTGCTTAAAAAAGGCTGAAATGCGCTTTCGTCTTCTTCTTTGGGCTGCCAGCTTCTTCGGGATCTGGCAAGGGGGTAAGATTCGTTCTACTTATGTCCCATCGTCCATTTGGCCCGGCCTCATGCGTATTTGGCTAGATTTACTCAGCAATATTCGCTCTCTTCTTGGAGATGGTAGGAGCACTTCTTTTTAGTGAGATAGCTTTATTGGTCAACCTTTGGCTAATTATTTTGGTCTTCACCCTTCTCTACGGGCGTGCATGAAGGAATTGGTTTCTCAGTATTGTGTAAATGGTGTTTGACACTTTCCATCTCTCCTCACTCTGCACTTTCCAAGTATTTGTGAGCATATTATGGATATTTCTTCTTTTCATGATCCTGCTGCAGGTAATTTGTTAGTTTGGGCGCCATCCTCATCTGGTGCCCTCTTTGCTAAGAATGCTTATGGTCACACTGCCAAAGTTTGTCGAGGTTCCTTGGTGTAAGTTAATTTGGAAACCTTTTATTGTGCCCCAGAAATTATTTTTAGTGTGGAAAGTTATGCATGGCAGGCTTCTCACAGAGGATTTTCTTCAAAAGCGTGGTATTGCCCTTTCTTCTATGTGCTTATTTTGCAGGATGGCTTCGGAGAATATTAAACATTTATTTTATGAGTGCCCCTTTACTTGTTCCATATGGAGTTCTATGTCTATTTTTTTTTTGTCTGCACTTTTCTCCAGGGCCTTTAGCGGTTATTCTTTCTTCCAGCCCATCTGCTCATTTTAGCCCTCAGCTCATGTATCTGTGGCTTCTTATGTTCGGAACTACTGTGTGGCTAATTTGGGATTTAAGGAATAAGTTGCGGTTTGAGGAGAAGGTTTTACTGTTTCTTTTGCTTGTTGTACCATTATTAATCATATGCGTGCCTCTAGTCCTTTGGCCAGGGGTCATATGTCGAATAAGGTGCGTGATCTATGTACTATTCGTTCCATTGGGGTGCACTGTCGTCCCCGCCCTAATCCCAAAATTGTTGAGGTTATGTGGCATCCACCTTGTTTTGGCTTTGTTAAAATTAATACTGATGGCGCTCGTAAAAGTGACTCTGGTAAAGCAGGTAGTGGTGGTGTGTTTCGCGATTATCAGGGCCATGTTCTTGGGGCATTTTCGGCCAATTTAGATGTTCTTAGTGCAGTTCATGCTGAAGTTTTAGCAGTCATTAAGGCCATTAAGCTTGCTTGGCTCCATGCTTGACATAATGTTTGGATTGAAACTGATTCGTTGTTAGTTACTAAATTCTTTCACTCTCCACATTTGGTCCCTTGGCTTCTACGAGTTGATTGGCAAAATTGCTTGCATTGTCTCCAACACATGTCATTTAAGATTTCTCATATCTTTTGTGAGGGTAATCATGCTGCTGATGCTTTGGCAAATCATGGTGCTTTGGGCTCTGGTTTAATTTAGTGGGATACTCTACCTTCTTTTATTTTACCTTTTTGTCAGCGGGACTAGCTAGGCATGCCTAATTACCGGTTCTCTTAGTTTCTTTTGCTTACTCTTTCAGAATTTTGATCTTTTAGGTCAGCATGTTGTTGTGCATTTCTGTCATTGTCTTTCTCTTCTGCATGGTTTGGTTTGGTCCCCCCTTGTTGTTCTTGTATCTCTTTTTTGTTTCTTATTAATAAATTATGATCAAGGGGATGGGCGGGGGGCTTCTGGAGTGTTGGTCCCCTCTTTGAGGGTGATGGATGTTTGTGCATCTGATGACCAATACTAAGGAGCTAATCTCATCTAATCCTTCGGTTTATTTATAAAAATAAAAATAAAAAATAAGAAAACAAGTTCAGATGCAACTCAACTGGGTCTTCATGAGAATGATAGCTAGCTCCTCTAGCTCTTCATCTCCATGGCACCCCTGATCTTTGTACAAATCCTCATTTAAATCATAGTAGCTCAACAAGACTAGTCTTCACAAAGATGGCAGCTCCTCCTTGAGATCAACTCCATGGTACCAGTAGCTCACTAAGAGATCAACTTCAGTGTGTGATATTTTAGATTCAAAATAAACTAGACCAATTTCTTCAGACAACACAATCATGAAAAAAAATCAATCATAAATAATGTGCAAAGTTACGGTCAGATTTTCTCAAAATAGGAAGCAATTTTCAAAATAAAATCTTAAAAACCCATTTCTATACCATGAACACTCTCACATGGCAGCTAAAGATAAGAGCTAGACTAGGACTAACCAGCAGCTCACGTGAAAAATAAAATAAAATGACTTGACCACAACACGTGATAAAAAAACATATCAAGGACGACTAGTCATATGCACTAGTCATCCAAAAAGAAAACATTTTGTGACGACAAAACTAGAAGGCTTAAATCATAACCAACTCTAAATTTGAGGAGGCTTGACTAGTCGACCAAACAAATCAACCATGTACCCAAAAAAATTGAATATTCAAAAACATGATGCTATGAAATATTTATGAGTTGATCGTGAATTGCAGCTTAGGCCATGTTGAAATCTGTCTTCAATGAATGAACCTCTCTGATCCTAAACTAGGTACTTGATAATATAGAAGATCTTACGGAATTACAAACAATATTACAAATGATTAGAAGTTATTTATCTCTCACTAGATTTATGAATTTCTAAAGGTCTATTTATTTTAGAAAGTAGATATGGAGCAATGGAGCCCATTTTAGAGCCCTCAATAAGGATGGCCTTAACATACGTGGATCACTGCGGACCTACCATGTCATTAATGTGGCACCCCACCACTTCAAAAAGAAAAAAAACAACCATCATGTATAACAGTATATGACACTTCTTACCATGCATGGCCCCCACTGCCCAGTTAAATAAAAAAAGCATTCAAGCTTCACCGCCCAGTTAAATAAAAAAAGCATTAAAGCTTCACTGACGTAGCAATCTCACATGGGAGCATTTCTGCCTAAGCTTTGGGTTCCAAAATCACAGTGGATAGCTAGTAGTAGTGACTTCGCTTCGCCGGTCTCCAGGTCAAAGGTAAAAAACAACTTTATATATTAACTATTTTTATCTTTGAAAAAAGTTTGTATTTTCTTTTTATTTCATGCATGCATGCATGCCACATCAGATTTGATAAAATCACGCAGAGGGTACAGAAATCAGTGGAGCCGCCAACCAAAAGCACGAGTTCAAATTAGAAACAATGACACTTGGCCAAAATAGAACAAAATTGTTCTTCTGCTTCTCGAACAAAGTTTGGAGCCACGTCTTTTTCCAAACGAGTGAATTTCATGAATCGAAACGTGCAATAGAGGAGAAGATCGTGAAAGTCATGCCGTGGCTTTTTTTTTATTAGCCAAACTTAGCAATGGAAGAAAATGGTCATAAATGGTGGCTTTGTTATTTTCCACATGAGTAAGCAAAACCATTTTTGTAACCTTTGACTTGAGATACCCATGCCATCCATCCACCACCGGCTATATAAAGCACAAACTCACTACAACCCTAGCACTTCTCAAAGTCAATTACCTTCTGGTTAGATATATAAGTTAGAAAATGGCGGTCTCTCCAGAACAAGAACACCCCACGAAGGCCTTCGGATGGGCTGCCAGAGATTCATCTGGGCTTCTCTCTCCCTTCAAATTCTCTAGAAGGTTAGTCATTATTTATTCCATCTTCTAGCGTTTTCTTTTCATCAGTCTAGAATTTGTGTGCGTTTGGTTCTTAGGAAATACGATGAAATTCAAGTGAAAAACTGGTAGTTAGATTTTCATCCAATCTAAACCAACTTTAATATTACAATCTAATTTCTATAATATTTATAAATAAATAAAGTTGTTTTGATATAGATCCTTACAACTACCATATTCTAGTCATATAACCCACTTACTTTGAGATAGATTTGTCCAGTATTATTAACTAAATTACATTATATGCCACCTACCTTCATATTTTATTTATAATTTATTCTCAAGCATGTCATTAACTTCCTTAATTATAACTGGCCTCTTCCCACGTGCTACCGAACCTGCGATAGATTATAACCAGAATATAACTTCCTTAATTTTATTTATAATTTAATATTTTGAATGTTTTACCATTATCTGCATTTTGCTTTATACATATAGATTAATATTAATAGCATATAAATCACCCCATTTATTTTGGTTGAGATAAAACTTCCCCGTAACAGGGATGTCGGCAAACCACATAAGTGTCCCAAGCAAATAAAATGTAGACAGTTTCTTTCACACACGACACTGCAATAGAGCTGCACATGAGGTGGCAGCCTATGTTTCTAGGATGGGTGGTAATTAGGTATGGGATCAAGCAGGTCCAGTATGGGTAGTGATGTAAACAATCTTATTCATCTTTAATAAATTTCCCTGATGTAAACAATCTATTCATCAAGAAGCTCACAGTCATCCCTCCTAGAAGAAAGCCCATATCGACAACCCCTCATTCACCCAAACTTCCTTGGGTATGCTCTTGCTTTTTCTCCACAGGTTTCCCAACATGGTTCTTTCGCTTCCTCAGTACCCTAACAAGTCTCATAATGGTTGGGATCAAGGAAGCATTTTTCTTGCTTAGGCCTTTCATTAGGGTTGAATATGGTGAGTAGGGTGTACTTATTAAAATTATATTTGTTTTGCAATTCAATATATCTTTTGTGGTCATTTTATATTAGGGTAAATTAGTAATTCAATAAATATTTTGATAGTATGGTGTACTCAGTTAATTTTAGGGTTCGTTTAGCAGCACTCTTAACTAAATTACATTATATGCCACCTACCTTCATATTTTATTTATAATTTATTCTCAAGCATGTCATTAACTTCCTTAATTATAACTGGCCTCTCCCCACGTGCTTCCGAACCTGCGATAGATTATAACCAGAATATAACTTCCTTAATTTTATTTATAATTTGGTATTTTGAATGTTTTACCATTATCTGCCTTTTGCTTTATACATATAGATTATTATTAATAGCATATCAATCACCCCATTTATTTTGGTTGAGATAAAACTTCCCTGTAACAGGGATGTCGGCAAACCACATAAGTGTCCCAAGCCAATAAAATGTAGACAGCTGGCAACAAATTTTACTTCCAAATTTAAATATTAAAAAATGTTCAGCATCAATTTTCACCTTCAGTTAAATATATTACGCAAAAAAAGAAGAAGAGAGAAATTAATATATGATGTGTGGGTGTTGAAGAAGTGACTGAAGAGGAAGCAAAGGGTTTAAGTTCTAGATTAACCCTTGAACCAGATGTGTAGGCTACAATCCCCTGGAGGTGGAGGCGAAGACATCGATATGGGGAGGGATCAAGACGGTGGAAGAGAGCCAATTTGGGCTTTATTATTGTTTCTAATCATTGGGTGGTTAGAAAGCCAGAGGAAGAAGATGAAGAGTACATTAAAAACAAAGTTTTCTCTTCAATATTTGTTTTATTAAGAAAGAAAAAATCCCTAAAATTTCAAACTCAAAAAATCCCTAAATTACATATCCAATAAATAAGGTACCTATATAATTCATTAAAAAAAAAAGGGTGGAAAAAATAGGTACAAATAATATGTCATTAGTTTATGCTACAACGTGATAGGTATATTAAATGTTTCTTCATAAATTCAATAGGCCTAAAACATGAATTTTTTAGATTCTAAATTTGATTAAAAAAAGAGAAAAAACTTACCCTAAAAATTTCTAAATTTCAGCCAATTTAAAACACCATTTGAAATTGAATATTATAATGACATTAAATTGTAGTAAATATGTTCAAAGTATATTCAGCACAATCAATGGAGAAAACAACAATTGCAAATACGTAGAGGTATTTTGGGAATCTGAAAATTATAATAAATGAGATCTTGAGCTTGATAAGGTAACTTGATGATGTGGATCCTAGTCATGAGTTTTTACTTATGAAAAATGGGTTTTATTAATAGGAACAAAAAGTGATGGGTTGCAATTAAGAAAAATTCAATTTGGAGGGTAAACCAAATTTACTATAAATAAAAAGCAATGTAGAATTGAATCAATATGTAAGACCAACTAAAGTTGCTGCTTCTTCAACATATATATGCCAATCAAAATGCAAAGTGCCACCTACTAAATTTATATCAATCTTAAATGTGCTATGATTTGGATGCAGGGCAACAGGAACAAACGACGTGACGTTCAAAGTACTATATTGTGGGATATGTCATACAGACCTAAGCATGCTCAAGAATGAATGGGGTATTTCTATGTATCCTCTACTTCCTGGGTACGTACACCAATCTGTTATTAATTGGATTATGCGCACAAATTAAATTAGTCATATGCACAAATATGAACTTAATTAAATTGGGCAATCCAGGCACGAGATTGTTGGTCTAGTGACAGAGGTGGGCAGCAACGTCGAGAAATTCAAAGTTGGAGACAGTGTTGGTGTTGGATATCTTGTCGGATCTTGCCAATCTTGTGATAGTTGTGGCAACAATGCTGAGAATTACTGCCCCGAAATGATATTCACGAGTGGTGCCAAGTACCATGATGGATCCGCAACATATGGAGGTTACTCCAACATCATGGTGGCCGACGAGCACTTTGTAGTTCGTATCCCAGACAACCTGCCACTTGATGGTGCTGCTCCTCTCCTATGCGCTGGGGTTACAACTTATAGTCCCTTGAGATATTTTGGACTTGACAAGCCCGGTATGCATGTGGGTGTGGTTGGCGCAGGCGGTCTTGGCCATGTGGCCGTAAAGTTTGCAAAGGCTATGGGGGTTAAGGTCACAGTGATCAGCACCTCCCCTAATAAGAAAAAGGAAGCCATTGAAAACCTTGGTGAAAGAGAAAAAACTTACCCTAAAAATTTCTAAATTTCAGCCAATTTAAAACACCATTTGAAATTGAATATTATAATGACATTGAATTTTAGTAAATATGTTCAAAGTATATTCAGCACAATCAATGGAGAAAACAACAAATGCAAAGACGTAGAGGTATTTTGGGAATCTGAAAATTATAATAAATGAGATCTTGAGCTTGATAAGGTAACTTGATTATGTGGATCCTAGTCATGAGTTTTTACTTATGAAAAATGGGTTTTATTAATAGGAACAAAAAGTGATGGGTTGCAGTTAAGAAAAATTCAATTTGGAGAGGGTAAACCAAATTTACTATAAATAAAAAGCGATGTAGAATTGAATCAATATGTAAGACCAACTAAAGTTGCTGCTTCTTCAACATATATA